CCCCAAAACCCCAAAACCCCAAAACCCCTTAGGAGGATATTCTGATTGAAATTTTTTTATTTTTAGAGATTTAGGCCGAAATTTTCAAGCTCTTAGAGCTTGGGAGACTGTCAAGGGCTGATAGGATGCACAATATTGGCTTGAAGGATTACTAAAATCATATCTGGGCTATTTTGAGAATGAGTTTTAGAAAGAATTATAGGGTCTCTCATTTCTCCCTCTACAGTGAAGGTATTGACTCATCGGTAGAATGTTACTCAAAACCCTCCTTTCAAGTCTTTTATAACAAAATGAGGACAAATAAAGCTGTGATCTGCAGCAAGTTTTAAGCGTTTTATTTTTACAAAAATAATCCAAAAAATGTCTGAATTGGTAAAATTAAAATTTTATAGAGTAAAAGAATACAGACTGCTGAGTATGTTTCCAATTCTATTAATATCAGTCCTGTGGTACCTCTTTCATGATTCGAATCAGAGGAGCAATTCTGTACATCTCTCTAATTTATGCATCTGAGGTCATTGCCAGTGCAATCCTCCACGAATTTTATGCAATGGTTTTGTAAAAATTTAAAAAGTCTGCCAGAGATTCACCGAGACTGTCTTCAGTATTCTAAAGAAAACTTTGGAACCCTTCTTTCATGATATCTACAAATTTCTGCAATCTGACAATGAGGCAGATCTGCCTCTTTCGCATCTTCTAGGTGTAATATCTCATCAAGATCTGGAGAAATGTAGCTGGGATTTAATTATTAGATAGAAACTCAAAAACCAGTCTGTAAAGCCTTATTGGAGATGAAATGAGCAGTGGCTCTTAAGAGTCCTTACTCGTATTTGGCCACCACTACTCTACTAAAGTTTGAGCTCTCAGATTGTTTCGCAAGTATTATGACGAGCGAAAATGCCTCTTATTATTTGCATAACCAACAGAGTGTTATTACTGATTATTTCTCAACATTATGAGGGCAGGCTTAGTGGGAAGCTAAGACAACAACTTTAGCTTTGTGAAGCCCAAAGTTGCATTTTTGAGATTTCTAGCCGTAAGCTCAAAGGACAAGATCTGGGTTCTGGAAAGGAATAAGATTAGGTTCCACCTAAATTTTAAAAAGTGATATAAGTTGGTTAATCAGTACCGCTTAGAGAGGCTATCAAGAACCCAAGTTCTGATTGATGTAACTACCTGAAGCTATTTTTTTGCGTTCAGGTGAGTGAATTACTGACTTTGGAAGCTTCTAGTAGAACCTTGCTCGTCCAGATCTATCACCTTGAGGCTTCTGCATGAAATACTATTACTACTATCTCCATAGCCGTAATGGCAAGATGATAATTTGAACTACTAAATCCTAGTTTGAGGGTTCAAGCCTGGTTTATTCAAATCGATGTACTATTGTGATGCACCAAGGTCGGGTCTTGAAATTTGGTCTGGATATCGAAAGTTTGACCTCAATATAGCAAGATTTTGAAAATGATATTGATGATTCTAAGACTTCTTGGGATTTGATGATAATAATAATGCTTGGCAAGGACTGAACATCTGCTTTAAATTTTATTGTTAATATCCCATTCTAATAGTCGCCTTAGACCCTAAACTTTGAGCATGCTCTAAGAATAGCTGATAGGCCTATATTTATTCTTTACAGGTGCTTCTTATGATCAGTGGCAATTGATTTGGTGTCTGCTAATTACCAAATTGTTTCGAAATCCACAAATCTACTATGTTATGAATTTTCTAGGTTAAAGAATTAGGTGAGAAATGGGATGTCTTCCTGATTCCCTAGCCTTCTAAACTATTTATTGAAAGTGATTGTAGCTCACCGAGAGATAGTCGGCTTGACTAGATTCTTTACTGATAACATTACTAATTGTTTTCTAACAACAAGAGTATGTCTAATGCTCTTGTCCAGCGAGAGATTAGAGACAAAAGACTCTGAAGAAATTTCAGAGCACACCTCTATCGATCATTAAGCAGATGGAGATTGCCAACCATTTATGGGCCTTTGTTAATCCTCACTTTAAAATGACTTCGAAAACTCAGTTCAAAATCTAAGCAATGGTATCTAAGTTTCGAGCTAAAATTATTTTAGAATTTATTGTTTTTGAGGCCTAGTCAGGTTTATGCCAAAAAGTGGCCTATGCAGAGTAGCTGGTGTCAGTGAAGTGAGAAAGGATTGGAAAATATTCTTTTATCACAAAATTGCTATGCGAAAAGTATCTTTTAGGGCCAACACATTTATCAAGAAGCTATTTTGTAACAATTAAGGAGAACTTATGAGTAATTATTCATGCCTTTCTTTTGTAGTGCCTCCTTAGTCCATGTTTAAAGCCTCTTTGAGTCTGACTGCTCTGGGATCATCCGAGTGCAACACCAAGTATCTTCACAGCACCTGGGCGCTTCTCGAAGTCATGACTTGCTTGAACTTTGCAAATGAGAATTTACAGACTGCATCTAAGAAAAGTCGAACTTGCTGCTTGACTTCGGAGCTGCAGTTGAAGTAGCGCAGGTCTTTGAGACTCAGGATGCCAATTGTGTAATAGACCAAGTCAACAGTCACAATTTCTGGAGGCAACAACTTGTTGAGAGTGGCAGTGACACTTTGGGTGATCTCGGCTCATGAGCAGTTGGAGTATCTTTTACTTACAATTTCTGAGTTTTGATGTTTAAATTGATACAACAAGTACTTCCGAACAAGGCGCAGAGAATCTCTCAGTTTAAAGACTCCTTTGGATTTCATCATTGAAGGGTGATACGAAATGTAAGCTAGAGCTGGGTCGCTTGGGCTGCTCTGAGAATGTTCTGATATTTCCATTTGCTCTTTAGTCAGTATTCTTTGACTAGTCCTATGAGAATGATACAAAATTTGTTCTTTGTCACTCGGAAGGTTCAAAATAGACTGTTGAACATCTTGCTCTTTGTCTTCTTCAATCAAGTTAGTTGAAACATTATTAGCAAGAGTGGCGCTGCCAGAGTTTATCTTAATATTAGAAGTTTCTTTAATATTCCTTAAACTTTGAAATCCAAAGTGGTGCAAATTCCCAGTATCTTAGAAGAAATCTGGACTGCTAAAGACTGCTTGGGAGTGCTATACTGAGATTTATTTACGAACAATCAGGAAAGATCGATCTCCATGGCTCAAGCTTGAAACAATTTTATATCAGAATCATTGGTCCTCAGATGGCCACTCAGGAGACATTGAAGGAAGACTTACCATATTTTGGAATGACAGGCTTGCAAATACATTGTCATGGTAGATATAGTCCTCTTGGTTCAGTAACGACTCAGAGTTTTCGTCAATATCTGAGTTCTTCATGCTAGGATTTATAAAATATTTGTGCTAGAGTCATAAGCAGGAATTGCCTGACCAAGGTTGGTCAGACATAACTCTTAATGGTTAATTTTGTTGCCCTAGAGGCTTTAATGCTCTCTATTTGTAGAAAGGCCATCTCTGTATCAGCCTGGACCTTCTTCTTCACTTCAAAGTTGTGAATAAATATTTGGAAATAACAACTGGATGTTGGGGTTTTGGGGTTTTGGGGTTTTGGGG